TGCCAACCTCCCCCATCCCCACCAAAAAAAAAACTGTTAGATCCTTGTTAGAGGGTGTTTTGGGTTTCTGACCAAGAGTTTGACTTTTTTTTTATTTTTATTTTTTACTTTTTTTTGCCTTTTTTTTACTTTTTTTTACTTTTTTTTTGACTTTTTTTTGACTTTTTTTTGACTTTTTTTTGGATTTTTTTTCAACTTTTTGGACTTTTTTTTTTTCAACTTTTTGGACCGTTTTTTGGACTTCTTGCCCAATTTTTTGGACTTTTTGGGTGATTTTTTTTGACTTTTTGGCCAATTTTTTTGGCTTTTTACCGAGTTTTTTGACTTTTTGGCCAACACAGATCATGTCAGTTAAGGGCATCACCCATCAGGAGGATCCCAACCCTCTGACCAATCAACAAAAAACCAGCTATTTAGCTATCTGATCAGTACTATGGTCTTGCAAGCCAGTCTGGGCACAGGCCCAAGTTGGGCAAAAAAGAGGCCAAGCGGGCTTGGCCGATCCCAAACCCCGCATGCCCCCTCTAAACCCAACCCTTGCTTGGTACCTCCCAAAGTTGGAGGGGGTCAGGCCCAAGTCACGCTTGGCCGAGCCCAAGCAAGTGTGCCACCCGCGCCAAAGCTGACCTCACCAATCCACACCTGGCCGGGCCCCAAGTCTGCCACCCGCACTCTGGTGAGCCCAGAGCTTGGGTTCGGCCAAGCCAGACTTGGGCTGGTGCCAAGTTCCAGTCCCCGCACGACCTACCAAATCAAGCCCCATTGGCACTCGGCCACGCCGGTCTTGGGCCTGCGCCCAGACTGGCTTGCAAGACCATACTTCCTGGTCACTGTTCCACAATCCTTTAGTGGAAATACCAGGTATACATAGCTACTTGACCCAGTAGGTTTGGACTTGTTGTGACACTATTTAAAATGAGTGATTGATCAAAATCAAATTAATCACTTCATTCCTTCCCCCTAAAAAATAAATTATTTACAATATAAACTTGAATTTGATTTATAATTCTGATTAAGGTGTAAACTATTAGTGTGATAAACATATAATTTGCATCTGTAATTGATGAATTTAGAAAGAGAAATCACAAAATTGAATATGGTTGAATTTCTGTGATGTTCTAAATGTATTTCTACAGGGGCTACAAAACCAAAAAATAAGAGCTTCCCTTGATCTGATTGTGAATCAAATCTGTAACATTTGTTCCAAAAAAACTGCTGAGGACATGGGTTTATTTTTTTATTTGAATCAGCAGCCTTATCTTTGGGGGAAAAATTGGTGTAAGCAAAAGGGAATTTTAGAGGACATTCATTTTCTTTTCTGGGAAATGAGTAGTAAATTCTGGGTAAAATCTAGTGACTTTCTTGGGAGTCCCATTTCCTATCATGATCCTTCTAGTGATTTTTACAAAAAAATTCAAATCTTCCAGGGTGACTTATTTGTGATTTGCAGTCACTGGAAAGCCAGTGCCCTGAAATTTCCCCTGGTGGATATGTTTGCTGATATGTTCCGGTATCTAAATAAGTGAATTTGGTTGGTATTTATATATGAAGGGCCGGCTGCAATCGATCGAGTTGACCGACCGTATAGAAAATCTCAGCTGACTACAGTAGATTTTGGTTTTTATCCAGTAAAATTTTCGAACTGGATCTTTCCACTTAGAATTAAACTTGTATCAACCAGCAATGCCTTGCCCCCAGATCACGTTGAGCTTCCCGCCTCATCTCAAGCTTGAGTCAATTACCTTAGAGGTGCGCAATAAGTTTATCCACTGCCTCAGTTTTCGCTTGAGGATTGAATGTGTGTACTTCGGTGGTGGGAATACTAATGGTCGTTGAAATTCATGTAGACTGGTTTGTTTATCAACAACCAGTTCGTCGAGTCAGCCGGTAAGGGGACCTTGTCAGTTACCCCCTCACCTTATCAAGTCTGACATTGATAGAAGGCTTCTCTGTTAGCGTTCCTACTAATTGGCATGTTTGTTTCAATTCTTGGATGGCCTATCAAAATCATCCAGCGAGACAATCAACCCAACCAACGGGAAAGTGATTGGCTCAGTTTCAGAAGCAAAAGCCGAAGATGTCGATATCGCGGTCAAAGCAGCTTCAGAAGCTTTCGATAAAGTCTGGGGTCTCAAAACCCCAGGCGCGTTGAGAGGAAAGATGTTGATGCATTTGGCCGATAAGATCGAAGCTAATTTAAGCACCTTCGCGGTATACATTGGAGGACTTCCCGTGGGTTTTACAGGCCTTGTAAAGCTAGATTTACAGGCTGTAAAGCTAATTTTTCGCTGGGAAAACGGTTTCACGAGCTTGTAAAAATAGCTTTACAGGGGGCTGTAAATTCGACGGGAAGTCCTCCATTTTTCTCTCCCTGGAATACTCTGCTCTCCATTAGACATGTCCTTATTATTATATGATGAATAACCACTTAGGCAATTGAAGCTATGGATAACGGCAAGGCTTACACGATCGCCAAAGGGTTTGACATTCCCGCGGCGGCGGCTTGTATTAGATACGTGAGTTCCATCTTCTTGATAATAAACAAACTAGAGAATCTCAGCTGAAATATGTTTTCATTCTATTAATCTTTTCTGGTAATCAGTATGGCGGCTGGGCAGACAAGAACACCGGCCAGACAATCGAAGTCAACGAGTCCAAGATGGCCTTCACTATTCATGAGCCAATCGGTGTGGTCGGCCAAATCATTCCATGGTAAATGAACTTCACGAAAATCTCCAAAAAATCTTGAAGTTGACCGTGTAGTCCTACCATTAACTCATTTTGCCATCTCGCTTGCTCAATAATCTCATTCTCGGACATTCAGGAATTTCCCGTGAGTAGAATCTTCTCAAGGCAAAGGGAGACCCGGAGGAATTTTTGCATAAGAAGTCTTTGATCAGACTCAGCTAATTTTTCTGATGAATCTTTTCATAAAAGTTTGTTCATGTTGTCGTGGAAGGTGGCACCAGCACTAGCGACCGGAAATACGGTGATTTTGAAACCGGCTGAACAAACCCCATTGACGGCTCTATATTTGTGTCAATTTATCAAAGAGATCTTCCCGCCTGGGGTGGTTAACATTCTTCTCGGTTATGGGCCTGGAGTAGGACAGCCTATAGTCGAACATCCCTTGATCGAGAAAATCGCGTTTACCGGGTCTACCGCCGTCGGTAAACAAATCCTCGCACAATCTGGCCAGAATAACCTCAAGAAAGTCACCCTCGAACTCGGCGGCAAGTCACCTAACATGTTCGTCAGTTTCTCCAAGCAAAGTTCTGGGAAGCAAAAAAGAGTCTAAAAACGGCGTGTCTTTCTCGCATATCAACCGTTCTCATTGATTTTCAAAAAAAAGTGTATTTGATGATGCAGATTTTGACCAAGCCGTTAAATGGGCTCAATTTGGACTATTCTTTAACCATGGAGTTGAGTTTTGTTAAGTGTTTTTCCTTCTCTGAGATACATCTTATCCAAAATCCTACACTCAGCCAACTGGATTCTTTTTACGTAGCAATGTTGTTGTGCTGGGTCAAGAGTGTTTGTCCAAGAGGGAATCTATGATGTGAGTCTACTGATTGCCGATTGCATCTTAAAAACAAAAGCTGAAACACAATGTCATACTGACTTATTTGTCTTGGCTAGAAATTTGTTTCTGCTTTGAAAGAGAACCTTCAGAACCTTAAAGTTGGCGATCCTTTTGATTTTAGCACCTTCCAAGGTCCACAAGTTCAGTCTGTCACTTCTATTTTGGATTTGTATTATCTTCATAATCTTGTGCGTGGTGAACAGGGATTTATTCAAACTTCCTAAAAATCTTCAGATATCTCAAATTCAATATGATCGAATCATGGGTTACATTAAATCAGGTAAAAACGAAGGTGCGACTTGCTTGCTGGGTGGTGATCGACATGGTCAAGAAGGCTATTTCATCCAACCCACGTCAGTTCAAACACTTTGCGTTAGCTGGATTAAATTGAGCTTCATAGCACAATGCTGACTTTGACCAAGACCGGACTTGGGCGTCTAAAATAATATGATGATCGGCTGGCACAGAATTTTTACTGATGTGAAGGCAGGGATGAAGATTCATAAGGACGAGATATTCGGGCCGGTGGTAGTGGTGATGAAGTTTAAGGACGAGGAAGATGCGATAAGACAGGCCAACGACACCGTTTATGGACTTGCCTCAGCCATCCATTCCACTGATATCACTAAAGCTCTCCGAGTCTCCAAGCGTATCAAAGCCGGCACGGTCTGGATCAACTGCTATAATCGGATGACTAGCCAGGTCCCCTTCGGCGGCTACAAGGGAAGTGGTCTCGGACGTGAGGTAAGCCACTTATTTTACTTATTCATTTTCGTTTTGCATCCATGTATTTCATCTCTGCTGAGTCTCTCTCTTCCTACTGGCTTCCGAAGTGTGGTAGCTATGCATTATCCAACTATACAGCAGTCAAAGTAAGCAGACTTCTTTTCAACCTCAACCCCTGTGCATGTTAAACTGACTTTTTTGGACATCTTCTCAAATGCCGTTTGTGTAGTCTGTTATCGTCAATATGAGTGAAAAGATATGATTGCAATTACAAAGACCTTGTGGGAAATGGGTATTTCATGGTATTGGGAGCTCATGAATTGAAGAGATTCACAGATTTCTTGCTTCATTTCTTGTTGCTCCCTTTCTAGTGCTTTCTCAATGAGTGCATATATAACAGCAACAGCAAGAAGCTTTACCATGGATAACAAATGATGACATCTCATCAATGTAGAAGATATTCCACCATTTTCTCCTTAATTGTTGGCTGTAGCCTGCAACAGGTACATTTTATAAAGAATTAATTTGTAGACCTTCCACTCCATGTATTAAGAGCTTTGGTGCTGGGTGAGGTATTTCCAAAGAGTTGTTGCAGTCTGATATTATACACAGAGGAATAATTTAATGTGATTGAGTTGAGGCAATGCAGGCATGTCACAGGGGAAAGTTCGGGTTAGGAGGTGGAGATGTTGTGGCACAACTTTGTCTAGCACTAGTTTAGGTTTCAGAACTTTGTACATATGTAGTCTAGTCAACAGTTGTACTGGCTTCTTTTCTCTTTCACTTTTTCTTCACTTATCTATTCTGTCTCTTTGCTGCAGTATCAGTTGCCTATCTACTGCACCATCCAGGTTGTCCATAATATCCTAGGTCAATTTTCTGTTTGCAACCTCAACATTACCACCCTAAAAGACACCCATTTTCAAAAATTCAACCCCCTCTCCCCCTTCCCCAAAGAAGGGTTGCCTCCCTTCACCCTTCCTAAGCATCTGATGCTCCCCCCTCCCTGCCCCCCTGAACCAGCTTGTAATGTCATCCTATCACATTAGACATGTTCAAATATGTTGTTATCTCCAAGGGCAATAATGCCCCTCTCATCAAACTAAATTCTAATCCTCCCCACTCAAACCTACATGTCTTTCTCAGGATGCTTCCAAAAAATTGGGATGCATCCAGAGCCGGTAAAGATCAATCAAAAAACATTAAAAAAAACTGTCCAACGTGATATTCAATAACAATATTTGGTTTTTATGTAAAATGATTGTTACCATCATTTTGAACATGTCTCAAAGTGTGGGAAATAAATTTAAAATGTCAAAAAACAATGAAAATTGAGCTGTAAACAATTAAGTGAAAAAACGGGTCTAATTTCATTATTAAGAATGAACTGTTGAATTTTATGGAAATTGGATTATACCATTAAATTTTACGCACATTAAAACCTAGGAAATAAATTTAAAATTTCAAAAAAGCATAAAAAATGAGGTAAAAAAAATGGGCATTAATAAAAAAGGGCCTTAATAAAAAAACACGGTTTTTCCGCGTTTACACGCGGTTTTGCTGCGGCACAGCACACGCGGTTTCCGCGTTCAAACACGGTTTTGTATTTAATTTTTTATGGGTTATTTTTCGAGTTTTTTTGAATTTTTAAAGTTGTTTCCTACACTTTAAAAGGTTTAAAATTTAATTGTAAAAACCATTTTCCATAAAAATGAATTTTGATTATTAATGATTTTTTTTACTCATTTCTTAATTAATTGTTTGCATACATGTATGTACCTTATTTTTTATGATTTTTTGAAAGTTTAAATTTATTTCCTAGGTTTAAATGTGCGTAGAATTTAATGGTGCAATCCAATTTCTTTAAAACTCAATGGTTCACTTTTAATACTCAAATTACACACTTTTTTCACTTCATTTTTTACAGCTTAATTTTCATTATTTTTTGACATTTCAAATTTATTTCCCACACTTTAAGACATGGTTAAAATGATGGTAACAATTATTTTGCATAAAAACAAAAGATTGGTAATGAATACTGCGTTGGACAGGTTTTTTTTTATGTTTTTTTAATTAATTTTCACCAGCTCAATTTGAATCATTTTTTGAAATTTTAAATCTATTTCCTACATCTAAAAGTAGGGAGAATTTAATGGTAGAATTCATTTTGCCTCAAAATAAAAGCTTCAATCTTAATATAAGAGTGTACATTGTTTCTTGCATAATTTGTACTGTATACAAATCTTATTTGAATGCAAAATGGATACAGCCAACAATTTTAAAACCTTTCAAAGTGTAGGAAAAGAACTTAAAATTCCACAAAATAAGGATCATTAAGTGTGTAAGAATTAATTGAGGAACAGCGTTCAATGCAGTATTCATGATATAGTTTTTATTTTTATGCAAAATTATTGTTACCATCATTTTGAACATGTCTCAAAGTGTGGGAAATGAATTTAAAATGTCAAAAAATAATGAAAATTAAGCCCTTAAAGGGGATTAATAAACGTACCCCCCTTTTCTGCTATCCACACCCGGTTTTTCACACCTGGTTTTCTGCTTCTACACCCGGTTTTCCCCAGCCTTTTTAATTCATTTTTTGGCAATTCTGAATATGCTAAAAATCTTTTAAAATTGATCATTCTTTTTGGGTATATAAAAAATCCTCAAAAGAGAAATTTTAATTTTAATTTATCTGATTCATCAAGTTTTTTTTTCTGCCTATGTGTTTTTGAGAATTCAAAGTACACTTAAATTTATCATTGACATTTCCCAATCTTTGGGAAATCTATAAAGGACCAAATTTGATTTCATTTTGGAAATCCCAATGTTGTTGGTTTTGAGCTATAAGCAAAAGGACAAAATAAGGAATATCTTGAATGGTACCATCTGTATGGAGAAGAAAAATTAAAAAATTGACAATTAATGATAAGTTTTGGCTTTAATTCAAGTTTTCAAGAGTTCATAGGGTCAAAAAAAATTGGGAAAAAATAGGTGAGAAAAATAAAAAAAAATGAAGTTCTCTTTTGAAGATTTTTTATATACGCAAAAAGAATGATCAATTTTAGAAGATTTTTAGAATATTCAGAATTTCCAAAAAAATGAATTAAAAAGGCTGGGGAAAACCGGGTGTAGAAGCAGAAAACCAGGTGTGAAAAACCGGGTGTGGATAGCAGAAAAGGGGGGTACGTTTATTAATCCCCCAAAAAAAAATTGAAGTTCTCTTTTGAGAATTTTTTATATACCCAAAAAGAATGATCAATTTTAGAAGATTTTTAGCATATTCAGAATTACCAAAAAATTAATTAAAAAGGCTGGGGATAACCGGGTGTAGAAGCAGAAAACCAGGTGTGAAAAACCGGGTGTGGATAGCAGAAAAGGGGGGTATGTTTATTAATCCCCCTCTTAAAAATCAATTGAAGTTTAAGACCAATTACAGTATTCAGAATGAACCCTTCAGTTTTATGGAAATTGAAGGTTAGCATTAAATTCTAAACACTTTGAAATGTAGGAAACAACTTTAAAATTTCAAAAAAGCATAAAAAATAAGGTAAAAAATTAATGCAAACAATTGAGTGAAAAAGTGAAGAATTAAATAAAAAAACGGTGTCAAATGCAGTATACAAGATGTAGTTCTCATTTTGGTGCAAAATGATTTTTACCATAAATTTATAAATGTCTGAAAGTGCAGGAAAAAAAGTTCAAATGTCGAAAAAGAATGAAAATTAAGCTCTAAAAATTTAAGTGAAAAAATGGGTGTAATTGCATCATTAAAAATGAACCATTCATTTTTATTAAAATTGGATTGCGCCATTAAATTCTACGCACACTAAAACCTAAGAAATAAATTTAAAATTTCAAAAAAACATAAAAAATAAGGTACATACATGTATGCAAACAATTAATTGAGAAATGAGTGAAAAAAAAAATAATTAATGATCAAAATTCATTTTTATGGAAAATGGTTTTTGCCATTAATTCTACACCTTTTAAAGTGTAGGAAACAACTTTAAAAATTCAAAAAAACTTGAAAAATAAGCAGTAAAAAATTAATTACAAAACCGTGTGTAAACGCAGAAAGCAACACTGGGAGGTTACACTACCAGTAACGGTAGCGTAACAATAACGCAACGAAACCAGGGCTGTTAGCGTTGCAATAATCGCAACGGCATTTCCGTTACGTTTTATTTTTTATTTTTTCTTATTTTTTTTGTTGTTACGTTATCCACGGCGCAAAAAGGTGTATTAACAAATGAATAACTAAGTCAATAACGCAGATAAATTGTTGTTTGCGTTATTTTTCTGGGTAACGAGGGGAGAAACCCCTTTGTTACGTTACTCATAACACAAAAACCCATTTTGTCTGGATAACGCTAACGGCGTTATTAGGACAGCTGGGAAGTTATGTTACGAAAATCCCTTCGGATATCGTAACGTATGTAACTTCCCAGTGTTGCAGAAAGTTGGAAACCACGTGCGCTGTGCCGCAGCAAAACCACGTGTAAACACAGAAAAACCGTGCTTTTTTATTAATGCCCTATATTTAATAGATAAGTAATCAAATGATAAGATAATATTTAAGCTTATATGTAACCAATGAAGATAAGATAAAATATTATAAGATAAGATAAGATAAGATAAGATAATAATAATGATAAGATAACAAGAGGTAAAGGTAATCAACATTATGGATAAGTACTTATGTAATTAAGTACAGGTGTTGCAGTTACTTGGTACATGAAAGGTACTGTGACATGTACTCTGTGGCTGACATGCCGGGTGCGGTACTAGGTTCCTGATTCTGCCCCAAATTTGGGGGGGGGGGTACCTGGGTACCGCTTGGTACCAGGGTCCAGAATGACTATCTTTAGAATCAGCCTTCTCAACTAGCAGCCAGGTTCTTGGAAATTTCTGAAGCCAAATGTCTCCAATAACGCTTGAGGCCCTTGTGTGTGGACAGGACTGGATTCGTCCTGAGGAAGGCCTTCAAAAGTGGGACAAGGAAGAGAAGGATGAGGATGAAGATGATATTGAGGTAGTGGAATGAATATGTTTTATTTTTTCATTTTTCTCTCATCTCTTTGATAAAGCCTAAAACTACATACACTTGTACAGTGGGTGGACCGTTATTTTTGGCTGCCTGTTTTGGACCCCAGAGCTCCGGAAAACAGACTTGAAGTTATGAGAATTGTTCAGGTGGTGAAAAATAGGTCCCAGAAAATGAATATGAAAAAATAAAAACAAAAAGTAAAGTTTCAAAATTTGTGAAAAATAAAAAATAAAACTCATTTCTTCAAAAGCTTTGATATTCATTTTGGGGGAGTGGGAGTGCTGAGAGAAAGAAAGAGGGGAACATGGGAAGAATGATTATAAATGAAAAAAATTGGAA